ACTTTACTTTAGTAAAGTTTTATCAACATACATTCAGTAATTTTTGTGTGAAAGAGAAACATCTATTCATCCATCCTCACAAACTTTCGTGTACCTACAATTATGTATTAGTATAGTAGTGTACGAGAATCTAATGGGATGGTTAAATTCATTGATTTTACCTTTATCTGACCATATTATGAAGTAGTATCTCCAAGAAAACAAAATCTAAAATATAATAAATAAATGAATTTAATAAAACTTCTCTACTGCAAGTCATATCAATAAATCCATGTTATACTAAAATATTAAAATATTTTTTGTACAATATTTGACACAATATCGTTTTAATTTATAACGTAATCTGATGGTTAAATCTGTAACACATGATTGGGTTTAATTAAGCCAGCAATAATGAAACTTCAATAGGCTTTTGGCGCATCATTATAGAATGTTGACATCATTTTTGTCGTTAATAATAATTAATTATAATTTATAGGCGTTTATTTAAAACTTTCCCGTCACATTCATTGTGCAAATATCAATTAGTCGTTGCTAATTGCCGTTTAAAATTTAATATTATTGTGTATTACTCATACTATGATACGAGTGTGGATTAAAGTACAATTCTATTGAAGTAATTACTTTTTTTATCTCTCTGTTCTATTTTGTGTATTCTGCACATGATATACAGCCTACAGTTATAATGGTGCAATTATACATTTTTTAAATGGTTTTCTAGTTTTTGCGCAATAACCCATATCTAAAATAACCAGAACAGTGTACTGTTTTGTACAACAAAATCCACATTTTTTTATTTATTCAGTACATTCGAGTGATATTAAAATTATGCTTCTCGGTTTTTGAAAGTTTAGCCTTATACGGGTAAAAAGGGATTCAAATAATGCATGAAAGTTTATTATTTTTAAAGTTACGGAAACCAAAATTGCTCAAAGTTTTAGTCAGTAAGTACGTTCTTTAAGAATGAAAAAAAAAATAAAAAAACGCTACTAGAAATAGAACCTGTCATTATATAACAATCAATAATAATAATAATAAAAGATTGCCTCTACTTATATTATATAAGTTGTATTGTTATGAATAACAAATTTTAATTCCATGTATTTCCTAAACGAAATCCTTTGTAAATTATAACAGAATTGCTTTAAAGTTAGAGGCTTAGTAATGTGTCTAAGCGCCTGCATATTTCGATGCAGCAAAAGCGTGTTCTTGATTCATTCCGCAAAACAAATTACGTTAGACTATATGATTGACTTGTAATTTCCTTTTAGTCTCGCTTTAGTGTTTGAAAATAGAATAATAATAAATAACGGGCTATATTATATTGCCACTAAGGTTTACCAATCTAAAATTAAATCTTTTCTAAAAATTATTTTTACGATAAAATATTATATTTTCATATAGAAATGTCAAATTCTAAAATTTTAAATGTAAAACGTAAAAATTAATTCATGTTGTATTATCCAAAGTTTCAATTGCTTATTAAGGTAGTCTTATTACCTGTACATAGGAAATAGTACACTGGTTTAGCTTTTTTTTTTAATTTTGGGAAATGCATTTATGTATACCATACAGGTGGTTATGTGAGACTCACCGGCTAGAAAAGCCAGTATTACCCACTAAAACCCACCTAAACCTCCCCCGTCTCAGTGGGGCGTCGCAGGATCGCGACACAATCAATCACGACGCCCCGACGGCAGGTCTGCCGAAGCAGACCACATCAACCATGGGGATGCTCCAAGGTCCACTCTGCTGTCAGAAAAGTATCAGGAGCAACCCGCATTGTACACCGCCTACCAAAGTGGGCCACCTCCCTGTGCGTTTCTTGGCTTCGCGCCTGGCTGAACTGCCGGACGCTAACATTAACGCTATGACAACCAAGAAAGTGTACCATTTTTTGTATTACATAAAATCTGATATATTTATAGCTTTTCCTTTTCTAAGTTTTTAGACCAACATACTATCTATCTATACTTATTATAAAAATAAGTCCCCCGGCCGCGTCTTTCTGTCCTCCTGTCTGTCCTCCTGTCTGTCTGTACGCGATAAACTCGAAAACTACTGAACGGATTTTTATACGGTTTTCAACAATAGAAAGAGTAATTCTTGAGGAAGGTTTAGGTATATAATTTATTATGCTTTTATGTAAATTAGCTGAAATACGGCGACAAATGTTGAAGAGGTCGCAAAAAATCTCGCCAAATGGGAACTTTCCACGCGAACGCCGCGTAAACTAGCAAAGATACAGTTAAGTAATGTACTAGAGAATTCAAAATCTATAAAAATGCTACAAAAAAGTCCGCGATAGCATATCTCTATCTCTTACGGTTGACTTACAATAACCACTTTTATGTTAACATTTTTAATTAAAAACATTACGTTATTTTCAAAGTTATTTTCTTTAGTTCGGTATTAATCCTTATCCAAATGAATATTTTAGTTAGCTTAGTCATTTAATGCAGATTAAAATTGCTCTTTACACTAAATCAATCAGATGAATAGTTTTTGAGATATCGTTGTTAGAAGTAATTAGTAGCGAAACATTTTTAATGCTTGGCGAGCATTGAGATGCCTACGGCGAGTCCATCCCCTCTGCCCCGCATCGCTCGACCGCCTGCTCAAGCTATATAAACCGGGCGATGTAGCGCGCGATCCTAGGATACTTTTTACCGCGGGAAAATATCTTATTTCTGAGGAAAAATACAAAAACTGCAATGTAAGAGTATACTAATATGTAACACCTAAGAATTTAGTTTTTGGTCATCTGAACGCGGGCGGAGCCGCGGGCAATGCTAGTAGCGAATAAAAACATTTGATCAGTGCAGGAATCCAAGCCACGGCTTAAGTAGTGTTCGCATAAGTACGAGTATGCTGTTATTGTTAAAGCTGAACTACTCCGTGTGTTATGCAATATCTCGCCAAATATCGATTGCACAAAGTTGGTATAATCTGGTATAACTTATAACATCGTTGTATTGGATGCTCCAAACATCTTAAGAGGAATTTACACATATGAAGTATGTAATAGCTCGTGTTCGTGAATTCGTCCGCGTGTAGCGTTTCTTTAAATTTCTATTTGAACGTTCTCTTGCAGTTGCAGAATACACATTACACATATCGTTCATTTATTTATAAAACGTAATAATATATATAATATGTTGGGACATTAACACACAGCACCATCTAATTCCATGGTAAGCTACGAGGCTTGTGTTATAGATACCAGATAGTTGATACCACTACATATATATTATTTTGAATACATACATATTGTAAATATAAACACCCATGATTGGAGTACAAACATTTGTGCTCATTACACAAATGAATGCCCCCAGTGGGACTCGAACCCGCGACCGCTGGCACAGCGAGTAGGGTCACTACAAACTGAGCCAAACGTGTCGTCGAATATACCTTTCAGTTTAATCAAACAATTCCAATCGTAGAGCTTTTTACACAGCTGACTTGGAAATTCATTGTTTGTAATATATTGAAAATATATTTTGTCTTATTTCACAAGGCGTAGCGAAAACTTTTATAACTGAAGTGCTATAATTATAATGTCTGTTGCTGCGCCAGGGCTCTATCAATTATTATTATTCAGCCGCGAGCTTTTCAATGATTTTTTAGGGTTTCGTCGGGTTATTCAACTTTTAGCGTAAAATTTTTCAAAATTTATATGTAAAAGTGTTATTATTGTATTGAAATATAATAAGTATCCATTTGTGTGTTAAATCAGCTAATACGTTATTTCGAAGTAAAATTAAGCATCGTAAGTCAAACTTTCACTTACACTACTCGATTCACGATTGGCAAAGAATATGAAACATAATATACCCCAGTTTAAAATAAAATTACAGTACATAATTTTCAATCCAATTTATTACTTTTACACATAAAACGTACAAATATAGAAAACATAATCTATTGAACACTCTAGTGGCACTTGTTCTAGAATATAAATGGTACGATTAACTAAATATGTCACTGTGAAGGTGAAATCTTAAAAATAAAATACTTAGTATATAGTATCTATAGGTCAATATTTCTATTTTATTTACCGTATTATTTTGTTTATGGCTTATAACCGTGTTGATTTACACAGTTGCTTACTTTTTCAATGTCACGTTGAATTGAGATTAAAATGGATATTGGTCGATATTTTTGATGTAATTTCATATATTTTCATTTAAACATAAATGTATGTATGTGTTAAAATTCATCTATAGTATACTAATATTATAAAAAGATATAGTTTGTGACTTTGTAGGGGTAATTTCTAGATCTACTAAACCGATTTACCTAGATGAAATTTGGTAAGAAGGTAGTTTGAGACCCTGCGTAGGACATAGGATACTTGTTTCCCGGGAATCATCCCTTAAGGGAGTGAAAATGGGGATGAAAGTTTGAGTTGGGAAGCAAACCCGAGCGAAGCGAGGTGAGTCGCTAGTAAAATCGACGAATACTTAATAGTTGAATTGTATGCTAATAAAATAATAATAATTTATTTTAGGATATTTCCAATATTACGTATACGTTTATCAATTGCATACGAAACACCTCTATAATAAATTTTGATAAATTGTTATTTGTAATTACATATTGGTTAAAATAATGTTAACAACCACATTCAAAATTCGTTTTAAATTAATGGATGAAACGCATGAAAATTCTAAAATGACAATAAATAAATAATTATATTCATTTGTTCGCCGAAAAACTTCGCTGTGTTATTAAAAGGTTTTAGTCAGAATTATTCATCGTTAGATATTTTCTACAATTATTAATAAAATAACTTACAAATACTTAAAAAATAATTTACTACAACTTGATATATTAAAATCAATAGTTAGTAACTTCTTACTTCAAAAATACAAAAAAAAAACTTTAATACAAAATGAACCAACAAATAAACATATATTATAAAGATAAAAATTTAAATGCCTTTAAAAGCCTTAATAATATAATTCAATAATTTTCCGTTCAACAAAACCCAATTAGCATCTAGATAAATCGGGCAAGCTCTTCTCTTTGCAGTAGGCGTATGAAGCAGGCCAGGCCTTAAAGCCTACTCGGTCGTAGATTCGTTTGGCACAACGAACGTCATCAGCCAAGTCCTCGTTTAGAAGATCTGTAGGAACACAGAATGTTACAAAGTAATTTTCAAATCAGAATTTCTGACGCAGTGGGATGCGACATTTTAGCTTAGGTTTTCGCATCCGGACGCCAATTAGCATTTCGTTCGAAACAGCTTTAGAGTTCTTGCTATTGCTATACAGTTAATGTTGCTAATGTTTTTAGAAGTGTTTTTGAGTGATATGGCCTAAATTATTAATATATTTCGATTATTATAATATTTCGATCGCCATTTTTGGTACAACTTACTGTTGAGTTGCTGTTATATTTCAATACGATAATTTACTAATAGAGAAAAATTTACTTATAAGTCATATAACAGTACTTAAATAATAAAACTATTGACTGCTAGTCAAATCTAATGAGCAAATTTATTAAAATTATATAAATGTAATTTACCTACTATTTAAATTAAAACAAAACAGCGAAATCATATAACATTTCTTGAAAGCAATTTTACGTATACTCGAGTAATTATGAAAGTCAGAGTAACGGCAAAAGGAAATCTGCATTTAGCAGGTGCTAGTGTGAAATAATAACCTGGAGAGGCATTAATTAAATTAGCAAAGTATTCATACCTTCGCATTTCATACTGCAGTGGCCTCCTTTTCTGCCTTTCTTGCACCATTCCTTGTTGTTGATCTATAAATATATTCATATGTGAATAAAATATCAACTTTTATTTGTTTTTATTACTAGTAATCTACCCTTATTCGGGTCCTTCCAAGACCTTTGGAACCTAACGTAACGCCTAACAGTCTATGTATCGAAATTATAATCTTCATTCTGCGTACAAAATTTCATCTAAATTGAAAGCTGTTTAAGCTCGAAGAAGTAACAAACGTACACACATAGAAACTTTTGTATTTATAATAGTAGTTCGATAAATAATCATATTATGATTATATGTAATGTTGAAATATTTTATGTGTATGTGTATCAACTAAGCTTTCTTTGCAGTTGTATGCACTGACTAACAAGTCAGTATTGAACACTATATCGCATGAGTGAGCATTGACTACTCATAGGAAATTTGTGGGTTCGCTTCCCTTTATTAAATAACTAGTGACTCACCCTCGCTTCGCTCGGGGTTCGTCCCTGGCTTGATTCCTAATACAAACCTTCATCCCCATTTTCACCCACTTAAGGGATGATTTCCGGGATAAAAACTATCCCATGTCCTTCCTAGGGTCTCAAACTATCTTCTTACAAAATTTCATATAAATCGGTTCAGTATATCCAGAGAATGCCCCCTACAACGTCACAAACTCACAAACAACCTCTTTATAATATTAATATAGATTAAAAACTAATTTTTTTAATTACTGATTTCATAACTCATTCATCTAGCTTCAATGCGAGGGGGATCAGGCCATAGTCCACTACGCTTACCAAGAGCTAGTTATATTTTACATGTCTTTCGAAAACTTGCTAGCTTCTCTGAGTCAAGCAGGTTTCCTCATGATTTTTTTTTCACCGTAAGTGTTAATCATGTTGTTCGTATATGAAAATATGGTGGTCATCACTGAGCTACCACTGCCTTTTGTTTCCATAATATACTTTGTAAACTAATAACTATAATGGCCAAGAAAAATAGTTTGGCACGTATTAAGTAAAATATTAACAATTTATCTTCCCGATGATAGATGATATGAAAAAGTGACAAATTGACTAAGCGTACTTGATTAACGGTACAAACATAAAAAGTTAAATAAAGAAACATTTGCCTTATAATGAAATAACATTTTATAACGAAAATTTAGACCAATATATATACGACTGGAGGAGACTTTAAAATACTTTCTTGAAGCAAGAAAAGTTCTTTAATAAATTGTCACGTAAGAGTCTTAAAGAAAAAGGGACTTGGAAAAAATCCGGCATTAGGAAAGCGACAGACCATTCTTGAGATGCAATAAAAGAAAAGATAGTTCATAGAAGGACGCGTCCTTTTGTCGCCGGTTAGGGATTCCTTAGAAATACTTGACTCACAAATAGCATCTTATTGTGATTTTAATGTAAAGTTTAAAGTTACGATGTAATTTAAAAGTGTTCAATTAAGGTCCATAAGATATTAGGTTTTTTTTAATTATTTTACTTTTAAAGTTAATAAGTACATATAGCGAAGGCAGTGGTAGCCCAGTGGTAACGCGCTCGCTTGTGACACCGAGTGAAGCGGGTTCAAATCCTGGGTCTCGCATCTCTGATATTTTTTTGTGTGAATCATTTCTAACATGATTACCGCTTGCCTTACGGTGAAGGAAAACATCGTGAGGAAACCTGCATGTCTGAGAGAACTAAGCAAGTTTTCAAAAGACATGTGAAGTCCGCCAACCCGCCCTTGGCCAGCGTGGTGGACTACGGCCTGATCCCCCTGGTATTGAAGGGAGGCCTGTGCCCAGCAGTGGGACGTTAAAAAGGGCTGAATACAAGTACATATAATATATAATTTTTATCTACGAAAAAGTATCGTCATAGTCGGTTATTCTATTTATTTATCCTTACGAGTGATCTATATACAAATATAACGCAATCCAATATAATAAAGGAATTATTAACTTATGTTATTTATAATCATTAAAAAATATTACAATAATATAATATTTACCAACGCTATATTCCAATATTTACATCTAACTGTGCTGAGTAATTAATACATTAATTTATTCGCGTCAAATAAAATTATAATTACAAAAGGACAAAAAGCCGAAGCGGAGCGTACTTTTGCCTTGCTTTGATCAAGTGACGTTTATTCGACACAAGAGCCTTGTTTCCGTCGTCGGATTGAGACTGCGTCTTACGATCGGAACTGTCATTTCAAGATGCGATTGAATTTCAGAAAAATATTGATGGCTGTTACCTAGATTGGAGAAAATATATTGCTAAGAAAGATTTAAAAGAGTCTGTAAAGTTGGTTTGATCTGAGAAACTTATTATAGAGGACGTAATATAATAATAATGTAACATTTATCAAAGGAATGGTACTTTCATGTTTAAAAGTTAAAACGTTTAATTTACTTTAAAAAGATATTAAATTAATATGCACAGTGAACCTGCAGACGCTAATTTAAGAAAAGTTTGGTAAATTTTCTCAAAGAGACTAAAGTTAAAGCTGTCTTTTGTCTCAGATCAATCTCTATTCCGCATAAAAACTTTCGCTATAATAGATGAATTTTATAAAAAAATACTAAATTTTACTATGACGGTGCATTAAAGAAAATATAATTAATACTAGTCATTAAATTAATGTAATATAACTTAATTAAAATAAGGTAATTGATGATAATTCGAGATTTTTTGTGCTTTTTGTGTGAAAAACGATTGTCGCTCATTAAATCTCGTGACCGCGATATTAATCGCTTAACCGCAGAAGCTTGCATTATTTCATGCTTTTGACAATTACTGAGAAAAACGACGTTAGTGAGTTTTGTTTGTGATAAAAAGCTTTTAAATCAGAATTCAAGCGAATATTTAAAAAAAAAACTTATATTTTTGTTACTTTTTATCAAAACAGAAAACCATGTTTGGATAAAATTAGTAGAGTTTAACTTTTTATAAAAAGACTCAGTTCTCTTTGTTTATTGTTATAACATTTACAACATCGTTAGTTTGCATCAAAGAATATTACGTTTAAATTATATATATTTCAGAAGCATTAAATATTCACGTCTCGTCCAACCTCATATAAAAGGCAATTAGCCATAATATTTCATTTTGATGATAAAAGTGTCCGATACGCATTTCTCCACTAGGGTCGCTATAAAAATGCAAATTTCAGAATACACAGCACTGCATTCTGTATTTAGTCAGCAAACACGTTTTTAATTAATTCGCTTATTTATTTGGCCATTGATGGTACTACGGAATTATCCATTACAGACGTATTACGAGATGTACTTTTGATTGAGTACGGCTGCGTTGGAACGCTGTCGTTATGACATTTATTTGTAAATATTCCGCAATAAATCCGTTTTAAATTTTATCCGTTTTTTTTTTCTTAAGCGCCATAAAATGTGGTATTGAATTGGAATGAAATGTAAGTTTTATTTGTATTGTTACAGTTTTGTATTTATTTTTAACTAGCTGTCGCTTCGCTCGGGTGTGTCAACATTGGCCTATGAGTTATATTACTCCAGTTCATAGTTTATTTGTGTATAAAATTTACAAGGAGTAACAAACATACACGCACCCATATAAACTTTCATTTTTATAATAGTAATCTAATATTAATACACATAGTCGAGTGCAATTAGTCATTATAAATGAAAAATGACGAAACCTAGTTATAATGAATGGATTTGAATGATCAAAAAATCCAAAATCAGTCAAATCCATTCATCAAACCTGGGTTCCGAAGTATAAACCTAATTGAACTCGACGTACAGTGTTTTCTGTTGTAGATGACCAGAAAAAATATTGTGACATTTCATTCAATACTTCTCATGTCCTTCAGATATTCTAAGAACGGTACAAACATCTACATAAAGAAAGGCGTTACTGTGAGCGGAAATCGAATCTCAGACACCACACACACACAGGATATATTGTATACTCAGTGCCAGTTACATATGGCACGAAAATCACTATCCTTTCTTTAGATAAAAATCTTTATTTTTTTTGTTATAAATATTTTTATAAGCATTACAATAATATTAGGTATAAAAACCTCACGTATCCAATGTAAGTAGAATCGATTTCGCGTTTTGAATATTTCCCAAAAACAAATTTAGAGTGAGAATCGTGTCGAATATTCAAAGTAAAGGACCTGCACTTAGCAAATACATTTTTTTCTGAACAGTATTCATTTTATATGTACATTTTAAGCGCTACACTATAATAAAATACGTACAACAAAACATCTCGCATAATAATTTTACAGTGCCTGAGGTGTTTTGTATTAAAACGTACAATGTAGTTGCTATTATAAAAAATATTATTTTTATTATTTCCTCCACAGTCTATACACTAATAATATACTATATTTTAGAATATTTTGAACAGTAAAACAGCACTTATTTAAGTTTACACGCAACACTATGTTTACGCAATTAAGCTAAAATATTATTAACTAGCATTGTCCGCGGCTCCGCCCGCGTTCATATGACTAAAACCAAATTCTTAAGTTTTAAATATTAGTATACTCGTATTACTATATAAGTTGACCCGGATGACCAGCTATTACCATAACAAATTTCTTCAAAATCCCTCCAGTGATTTTTCTGTGAAATTGTGTGTGAAATGTGAAATTTCTTAAAACCATAGGTTCGGCCTCTGTTAGCGATAATAATGTGTATTTAAATAAGATTTTCCAAAAAATATTTAAAGCACAGATGAACTTATTTATAAAGCCAAGAAGATTGTTTTTTTTTGATAATTTGAGCACGGATGGGCCGCGGGTAATTTAGTAGTAATTGTAATAAAATCATAGAAAGGTCTAATTTGTACATTCAATTTTTTGGAATTAAAACTACGTATTTTAAAGACACATGACGACATCTATTGACAAATATCTTAATAATATAAAAATAAATATTCATTAAAATAACTTTTTTAATGAATAAAATAGTGCTATTGACATACTTTTTCAAGATTAGCTATTTTTAATAGTTATTGTCATATTTAGTAAGTTAACTTGCTAAAATGTA